CCCCATGCTAGCGATGTTCCTCTCGTGCCACCTCTGCTCCTCTCCGCACAATTCCTAAAAATACATCTATAAAAAAAGAAGCATGCAAGTGCTGTGTGAACTTGGTGCTGGTGCAAAGCCCTGGGCTGGTCCGGGAGGGAGGGAGGCAGGTGCTTCCATGGCTCTCCCAGCTTTCCCGCTTCCAGGGGCTTCAGCACTGCTGGTGCTGGCAGAGCTGTTTGGGGATGAGTCCCCAGGAGCTGCAGGGCCAGTGGCTCTCCTGGCTGAGTGCTCATGTTTTCTCATCCCCAGCCCCCTGGTGCCAAACTCGACAGCTGTCCCTGGGGAGCAGGTGAGAGGACAGGAGTGTCCCCAGGGTGCAGATATGGAGACCTGGGGCGCAGAAGTGGGTGGGGATCGTAGCTGTCGTGGGTGTGCAGGCACGGGGACAGAGCTCCCCCGGGTGCAGACAGCTCCACAGGGATCTGGGGGCTGCGACGCTGCCCCACGGCCATGTCGACAGCACCACCGGGACCAAAGGTCCCTTCTTGTGTCACTATAATGTTGCCACAGGCATCACGTGGCTGTTTGCTCTGCTGCTTTGAAGGTGGCTCTGCCCCCACCCAGCTCAGGGGGTTTTTACCCCCCCCGGAGCCGCGGCACGTGTCAAACGTGGACTGCGCCCCGGGCAGCACGGACAGTGCCAGCACCAAAGACCTGGCCGCCCTCTGCTCCCTCCCAGGACCTCGGGGGCAATCGGGGAGGCCACACAGCCCCGCGCTCACTGCTCAGTGACCACAGCTGTGCCGGCGAGCCGCGGGCACCGGAGCTGCGCCCGCCGGGGCTGCGGCAGAGCCGGTCCCGCGGTTCATCCCTGGCTCCAGCCGAGCGCGTCCCCGGGCTTTGGGGCACAGGACGGAGACACCTCACAAGCTCCCCCCTCCGAAGCCCCGCTGCCCCTGCTGTGTTGGCTGGCGCTCGGCGACCTTTGAGCGCCAGTGTCCGGCACGCTGATAAAGGCCGGGAGGGCTGTGCCGAGCTGCCCACGCAGTTTATAAAAGCACCACGCAGGGCCCGTCCCGCTTTCCCTCTGTCCCATCGCTCGTCCTTCCATCCGTGCAGCGGTCGGGGCGAAGATGTTGCGCTTGGTGGGCCGTGCCGCGCGCTGCTGGGGGGCCAGGTGGGCGACACCAGGGCCAGAACAGGCACCCCGGGGGGCCCAGCACCCCGTGACCTTGCAAAGGGCATGGTGAGCATCCACGTGGATCGGGCGGGCCGGAGATGTAGCCAGGGCAGGGGTGGGGAACTGTCTGAGCTCTTAAACCTTGCTGGGGAAGAGGATCCTCTCCCTCCTCCCTGGCAGCACTGCCAGGCACAGGGAACTAGTAGGGATTTAGGGTGCTCCCATCCTGGGCTGCTCGCTGGTGGCATCTCCCCAGGACCACTGCCGTGTTCCCAGTGCTCAGGGCTACCACGGGACTGCCACCACTCCCTCTGCCCCACAGCCTCTCCAGTGCTGCCGGGACAGGTGCCTGGCCCAAGGACGTGGGCATCCTGGCACTGGAGGTGTACTTCCCTGCCCAGTACGTGGAGCAGGAGGAGCTGGAGCGATATGATGGTGTGGAGGCCGGCAAGTACACGCGGGGCTTGGGCCAGAAGCAGATGGGCTTCTGTGCTGCCCATGAGGACATCAACTCCCTGTGCCTGACGGTGGTGCAGCGGCTGGTGGAGCGTGGGCGCCTCTCCTGGGATGCCATCGGCCGCCTGGAGGTGGGCACCGAGACCGTCATCGACAAGTCCAAGGCTGTCAAGACTGTCCTCATGCAACTGTTCCGTGACTCGGGCAACACTGACGTGGAGGGCATCGACACCACCAACGCCTGCTACGGGGGCACGGCCTCGCTCTTCAACGCAGCTGCCTGGGTGGAGTCCAGTGCCTGGGATGGTGAGTGCAGGCAGGGACTGTGCCATGGGGCTGGATGCTGGGTGGGTGCCATGGAATAGGGGGAGGAGGCAGGAGGGGGCCTAAAATCCATAGATACTCTGGCAAGCTTCAAAGGAAGCTGCTGCCCCTCCAGGCTCTCCATCACCCCTGTTTCTTGCTTACCTTGGCTGTGACACCTGGCATCATGGAAATGGGAATACACGGGGGCCGTGGTGTGGAGGCTTCCACCTACGAATGGCCCTGCCAGTCCCTGTCTCCTCCCCAGGTCGTTATGCCGTGGTGGTGTGTGGGGACATTGCCGTCTATGCCACGGGGAACGCGCGGCCCACAGGAGGTGCCGGTGCCATCGCCATGCTGGTAGGACCCAACGCCCCACTGGTGCTGGAGAGAGGTCAGTGTCATGACACCCTGGGGATGGCAAGCTGATGAGTGCTGTCCCTGGAGGCCATGCATCCATGTCCCAGCCCTGGGCAGAGCTGCTCAGCTCCAGCAGCACTGGCTCTGCCAGACCCTTCTGGGTACTCCAGGATGCCTGGCTAGCCACATCCCTATGGGAGGCTGGTGGATGTCAGAACTGGCATGGCAGGCAGCACCCCTGGATGCTTCTGATTGGCTCCCTGATGGCAGGCTCTCCCTGTGCCCCCAGGCCTGCGGGGAACCCACATGGAGCATGCCTATGACTTCTACAAGCCGGACCTGTCCTCCGAGTACCCGGTGGTGGATGGGCAGCTCTCCATCCAGTGCTACCTGCGGGCACTGGACCGCTGCTACGCTGTGTACCGACGGAAGGCAGAGAGCCAGTGGCAGAAGGGTAAGTGGCAGCACCCCTAAGGTGCCCATCCCATCCCTCTGGATGCTGATGGACCCATGTTGCCTTCCAGCTGGCATCCAGAGGCCCTTCACTCTCGATGACTTCAAGTACATCATCTTCCACACACCCTTCTGCAAGCTGGTGCAGAAGTCCGTGGGGCGGCTGCTGCTGAATGATTTCTTGGCCTCCCCCAACCCTGACATGGCCTCCGGCCTCTACAAGGGGCTGCAGTCTTTTCGGTGGGTCCCTGCGCCGTGTCCCCCACCCCTCAGCCCAGGCAGGGATGTGCCAGTCCAAGGTTTGAGCCAGCCTCTCTCTGGGCAGTGGTTTAAAGCTGGAGGACACCTACACCAGCAAGGAGGTGGAAAAGGCATTCCAGACAGCCAGCCAGGACATCTTCAACCAGAAGACCAAGCCCTCCCTGCTCCTCTCCTCCCGCAATGGCAACATGTACACACCATCCATGTATGGCTGCCTGGCCTCCCTCCTGTCACAGTAAGTCCCCCAAAATGCTGGCTCAGCGGGAGGGAGGAGGTCATTTTGGGAAGGGCAGACAGACCCTGGCTGGCTGGAGGGGGAGATGCCAGCACTCATATTCCCCCCTTCTCAGCAGAGACCTGACAATTTCATTGCACACAACCCCCAGTATGGATGCATCCCGCTCCGTGCCATCTCCCTGCCAGCCTTTTCATCCCAGCTTGCTGGAGCTGGGCCAGTACATAAAGCCCTTCTGTCATTGCCAGGAGGATGAAAACCCCGTTGTCATGACCCGCAGAATGAGTGACCCCACGGGAAAGGAGCCATGGGAACAGACAGGCCCTGGGGGGAACAAAAGCCTAGTCCCTGGCACCACTGCACTCCAGGGCCACACTCCCTTGGAAATGTGGCCCTGAGACACAAGGACCCCCTGTCTGGGAAGGAGGCAGCCCCCTACACTACCCCCACAGCCCTGCATGCCCCTCATCCCAATCTCTTCTAACCCTTCTAACCCCCTGCTGCAGGTGCTCAGCCAAAGACCTGGCTGGCTCCCGGATTGGTGCTTTCTCCTATGGCTCGGGACTGGCTGCCAGCATGTTCTCCTTCCGTGTCTCACAGGATGCAGCCCCGGGTGAGCCCCAGGGGAGGGAGGGACTGGGAAGGGAGGGCAGTGTGGGGCTGTGGGGCCCAGGGCTGCCAGTAGTGCCATCTCACTCGTGGGGTGCCCGTTGCCAGGCTCGCCCCTGGACAAGCTGGTCTCCAGCCTGGCTGACCTGCCGGCTCGCCTGGACGCTCGCAAGCGCGTGGCCCCGCAGGACTTCGCGGAGATCATGAAGCGACGGGAGGAAACCCACCACTTGGGTGAGTGGGGCTGGGGGGATGTGACACCCCCCCACTGGGACCCCATGACACCCCTGAGCATCACTGCCCTCTTCCCGCAGCCGACCACGCTCCCCACGGCTCCCAGGCAGATCTCTTCCCCGGAACCTGGTACCTGACGCGCGTGGATTCCAAGTACCGCCGCGAATATGCCAGGAAGCCCATCTAGAGGGGACTGGAGGGGTGAGCCCTAAGATGGGGGATGCTCTTTTTACCACTGTCATCCCTGCTCATCTCCAAATTCGGGGCTGCCTTCTGTGGGAAACTTCATCTTGGATGACTGGGGAATGTCCAGTGGTGCCTCGGGCCCCAGAGCTGGTGGAGATTGTGGCTCTTCTGCAAACACCTGGGCAGTGCAGGGGAATAAAGGTGTGGATGGGAGGGGGCAGCAACCCGGCTCTGGCTCCTGGTCTTGAGTGGTCTCCTCCCACTCCAGGACACTCCCCTTAAAAACCATGGATCTGGATCGCAGCCCCTTACAGGATTTATCCCATGGGTATCCAGCATTGGCCACCTGCCCCATTAGATGTGTGGCTCAATAACCCCCATTATCCCAGGATGGGAGTGTGCCCTGACATTTTGGGGGAGCCAAGTAAAACCCAGCCTCCCAGTCTGCAGATTGGGGGTGGTAAGAATCCATTTTCCCTGTGAGGTCACTAAAGTGAAACCTCCTCATGGCAAACCCCAGGGGCAGGAGGGGGCAGGCAACGCAGGGGCTCACGGGAGGGCTCATCCCCCTTCCAGCACTGCTCTCTGGGCCATGTCCTGGCACAGGACTGTGGCCAGACGGGACCTCTGCAGCGGCAGAGACCTTTGCACCCTTCAGCAAACAGCAGCAGGGTTGGGGAGTGGCAAGGGCAGGAAGGAGGGAATTTGGGGTTGAGGACAAGGGACCACACAGACAAGATATCACATGCTGTCTCCTTCTAGACCCTTTATTGAGTGTGGGGCCACCCCAAACTCAGTGTCGGGGTCAGGGACAGCTGGCTCCAATGCTTCCCCAGCTGGGGGAGGGTCCAGGTGCTTCGGCCATGGGGAGAGTCCTTGTTGACAATTGGGGTCTACAGCAGGTGGAGCTGGAAGATTTCTGTGACTCGTGGCTTCAGCTCGCTGAGGTTGGACAGGGGGGCTGAGAGCCCCACAATGCTCCACTGCTCCCCTCCCACTGTGCTGGAGCTGTGGTAGGACTGGAGCTGGATCCCCATCTTGCCCAGAAGCCCTGGGGAGGAGGAGAGGAGTTAGGGACCACAGGCTGCCCCACAACCCAGCAGGGAGCTGAGCTCTGCTCACCCCAACACCCCTCAATGGTCCTTTCTTCCCCCACCCCAAGTCCTTTGCTCCACATCACCCAACCCCCTGCCCAAGCCCCCCATCCATCTCTCCTGTCCTTGCCGTTGCAGGGGCTCAGCTCTGGTTCAGATGCAGAGCCCCCCCAGGCTGCTCCCCTGCTCAGGGCTGGCGCAGGGAGCTCACCCGTCAGCGTGGCCAGAGCAGTGGGATCGGAAGCTTTGGCTCTGTAGGTGAGGAGAGGGCCAGACAGTGGGGCTGGCTGCTTGAAGGTGGCCCCGCTGATCTCCCGCAGCACCGGGGTGCTGCCCTGTACCGTCCCTGTCACCCAGTGCGGGGTGCCCTGCAGGGACACCTGCACCAAGCCAGTGCTGCTGTCGGGCTCGGGGGCCACGTCGCTGTGGGTGGTTGTGACCTGTCAGAGACATGTGGCTGTTCAGTGCCCAGGTCCTGCCTGTGGCAGGGTATGGGGAAGGGATGTCCTCAGAGGCACACCAGGGAATGTCCCCCAGCCTGAGTGCTGCGTTAGCAGCCTTGTAGGGTGTCCCCAGGCTCGTGCCACTTGGTGAGGAAGGGCAGGGTCTGCATGCACCAGGCTGACCGTGCAGAGGCCAGGTGTCCACGCACCTTCAGCCCAGCCTCCTGGGCCAGCAGCATGGCATTCACCAGGGTCACCTCCTTCTGAGTCCCTCCAGCCAGCATGCCCGCGGCCACGGCAGGCGTCAGGTAGCTCCCGGCCTCCCGCAGTGGTGTCCCTGGGGTGCAGGGAAGCGGCAGGTGTGGATGGGCCAGCAGCAGAGAGGTCAGCCCCACACTGGAGCAGCCAGCCTGGAGCTGGTCCTTCCACCACCCAATCCATCCACCCGTCCCTACTCCCATCCTCCCACCCATCCATCCCCACACACCCCTGTGCTCCAATCCCACCCTCAACCAACCTCCTGTCCATCCTCTCTCCTGGCTGTCCTCCCACCCATCCAGGCCAGAGGTCCCTGCACACCCTTCCTGCCTGGCTCACCTAGGGTGCAGACCTGCATGCTGCCCTGCACTTGCTTGCCCACCATGTGCAGCACTGTGCCCAGGGCCCGGGCCAGGGCAATCCAGGGCTTGGTCTGGGGTGCAAAAGCCTTGCTGAGAGCCTGCGCATTAACCTGTGAGGGAGAGCAGGGTGAGCAGTGAGAACCTGCCAGTGAGTGCCCTGGGTTGCTCCCAGTGCACCCATGTGTTACAGATGGGGAAACTGAGGCACAGAGGTGAGGTGCCCAGTGGGGGGACTCACTACACCAGTCAGCCCCTTCCCCGTGGCCATATCCACGATCTGCATGGCGATTTCCTTGCCGCAGCGGCTCTGTGCCTCCCGTGTGCTAGCACCCAGGTGAGGGCAGGAGATGACATTGGGGTGGTTCACCAGGTCACGGTCCTTTGGGGGCTCCTGCAGACACAGTTCCATCCTGCCATCAGCCCCCAGCACCCATCTGGGAGCTCAGAGTGGGGAGCATTTACCCTCCTTCCTTTACAAGGAGGGAAGCTGAGGAGGGCTGTGCCTGGTCCCAGTCCTGCAGGGTTTGCCAGGCTGCCTTAGCCTGGCTTGTGCAGAGTTTAGGTGATGCTGAGACAAAGCAAAACTCGGGAGGTTCCCTCAGCCCCACTCACCTGTGTGAAGACATCCAGGGCAGCCCCGCCACACTGCCCCGACTGCAGCGCCCGCAGCAGCGCGCCCTCATCCACGATGCCACCGCGGGCACAGTTCACCACCTGCACGCCACGGCGGCACTTGGCGAAGGTGCTGTCATTCAGGAGCCCTGAGAAGGAAGGGCTGTGAGCAGCAGGGGTCTGTCCCAAATCTCCCCAAATGTCCCTGTGCCGGTGCCCACTCCATACCCGTGGTGGAGGGCAGCAGTGGCGTGTGCACTGTGATGAAGTCGCAGCGGGGCCAGATCTGATCCAGCGGTAGCTGCTCCACGCCAAAGGTGGCTGAGACTTCGGGGGTGATGATGGGGTCGTAGCCTATGGTCTGAGGCAGAGCGGGCACTCACTCCTGCAGCCTGGCACGGTGGCTTTGGCTGAGCCGGGGGGTCCACTATCCCCATCATTCTTCCTGGCCCCATTTCCTTACCTTCATGCCGAAAGCCTGCATGCGGGTGGCCACCTCCCTGCCGATGCGTCCCAGCCCCAGCACAGCCAGCGTCTTCCCATTCAGCTCCATGCCCATGTACTAGGGTGCACAGTGGACCATAAGCGAGCACACCCCACATGGCCACCCACCACCCAGAGGTGCTTCACTTGCCTCCTACCTTCTTACGGTCCCACTTGCCCTCCTTCATGGAGGCAGCTGCCTGTGGGATCTGCCTATAAAGGAGGCTGTGGTCAGCATGGGGCAGGGGGCTGCAGGGCGCATGTCTGTGCCCCCCTCCTGCTCTGCACTCACCTGGCCAAGCACATGATCATCCCACAGGTGAGCTCCGCAGCGCTGAGGCTGTTCCCAGTGGGTGTGCTGGGAATGGAGAGTGGTGTTACTTGTGCACGTGACCCGGGCTGACAGGGGTCTGCACTCCGTGAAGATGGAGACACACACAGGGTGGTGCTAGGGATGCCATGGGTGGGGATGGCACCCTACCGAAGCTTCCCCTGCCTCCCCAGGAGCACAGGCAGGGATGTCCCTGCACTCCTGCTCTTACTTCATGACCAGGACACCCTTCCTGGTGGCTGCTTCCACGTCCACGTTATCCACACCGGTGCCTGCTCTGCCCACCACCTGCAACCTCTCAGCTGCCTCCAGCACCTCAGCCGTGACTTTGGTGGCCGAGCGCACGATGAGTCCATCGCAGTCCTAAGGAGTGACAGACACGGTGAGTGGGACCAGGGCCAGAATCCGCCGTGTGAAACTGGCTGGACTCTTGCATCAGACGGGAGGCGGGGACCAGTCGAGGGGGTCCACTGCCACCCGGGACCGGCCCGCTGCGCCCACCCACCCATGCACTCACCCACCCACCCACCCACGCGTGGGTGCAGCCCTGCCTCACCCGGATCTCCCGTAACAGCTCTTCCTTGCTCAGCCCGGGCTTCTCCTGCACCCGGAGCCCGCCGGCCTCCAGGATCTCCCGGCAGCAGGGGTCCAGGCTTTCGCTGATCAGCACTTTCTGCAGCTTCCCCAGCGCCATGGCGCGACCGGCCCGGACGGGACAGGGATGGACGGGACGGGAGGGGGTGCCGGCTCTCTCCGCACTCCGCCAAGAGACTTCTGCTGCCCCTCCGCCAGGCTAAAAGAGCTGCGAGCGGTGCACGTTTTTCGGGCTCATTGGGTCCCGTGTCCATAATCCCACCTCCTTCCCTTCCCCTCCCCGCCCCAGCCCGCCCGGGCCCCCCCTCGTCCCTCCCGCCCCCGAGGGGAGGGAGGGAGGAGGCGGAGGGGAGCAGGCCCGGCACGGGGCCGGGCTCCCCAGCAGCCCCAGAGCGAGGGGAGGATGTGCCCCAGCAGGACCCCGTGGGTCGGGGAGCCATGAAGCCGGGGGGAGGGGGGGGGTAGGGTGTCCCGACCCCGCGTACCAGTCCTTGACTCAGTTTCCCCGTCCTGCATATCCCAGCTCAGCGAGGCAGGAGGGGAATGGCGGTGGCAGCCACAATGCTGCGGGTCGCTTCCCCACAAGCTGGGGGTGCCGCTGGCAAGGAAGCAGCCCGACCCCAGCCCATGGCGAGCCCGGCCGTGCCCTTCCCAGCTCGCCCAGGAATGGGGGTTCCCCAGACTCTGCAGCCCAGAGGTGAGGCAGTGCCAGGGCCCTTGTCCGTCCCCAGCATTGTGCCCGCTGTTGAGCAATGCCCCCGATAAGGGGCCGGGGGCACGGGGCCCTGGCCACCGGCTCCCAATGACGTGGGGTGCACGGGAGCCACCCAGCAAACGCCCTCCATGGGGCAAGAGCTGTGTGGCTGTGTCCAGTGACCTCGCAGTGGGAAGTGCTGACTCTGGGGACACGATTGTGAGGGGACACCATGGGACCAGGCACTGCCCAGCATGCTGGATGGTGAGGGATGGAGGGTGTCCCCTTGCCCATGGGGCCAAACTTTCACAGGGCACTCGGACCAGACACACCCCAGGTCCTGCCCATGGGGAGCCAGGCCACAACTTTCCATACAGTGGGGGTGGGCAGAAGGGACACGGTGCTCCCAAGCTGGGTCCTGAGGGGAGTGAGCCCTTCCCCAGGCTCTTCATGCTGCAGGCAGCAGATCTGGACCAAACTGCCCTGTGTGAGACCTGGGTGGCCCCAGAGGCTGTTAAACCCTGCAAAGCCCAAGAGATGGGCAGACAGGAGGTGGCCGGGATGGGATAACTGCCCTCACCACAGGCAGCACAGCAGAGGTGGGGGAGCCCAGTGCTATGTACACCCTGGAGACATGTACAGCCTGGCACTGCCCATACGCAGCACTACGTACACTGCAGCCACAGCCAGGGAACAACCGTGACGCCAGAGTGGGGAAAGTCCAGGGCAGCCAACACAGGGGGAGAGATGCGGTCAAGGGCAGCGGCTGGTGAAATCTGCAGCACGGTCCCAAAACAGCCCCCAACACAGAGCAGTGGGAGCTGGCGACCGGGACGGGGCTCCCTCTCCACAGTCTTACGTGTTGGGGGCCCCCACACCGCGGGACTTGCTGTGGCTGGAACATGGCCCGCGGCCCCGCAGCCCTCGGCACAGCCCTGAGCCGGCCCTCGGCTCCGTTTTAACCGTTAGGACCCTGCTCAGGGTGCCCGCCGACCCGGCATCCCGGCGCCCTGCTCCCCATGCCGCCACCGCCTGGGCTTGCCCAGCGCCTCCGAGGCTCCTCTCCCACGCCTGTGGCATTGCTTGTGCGGAGGCCACGCGTAGCCAAGCCACTGCTGCCTCTGGCATCGTATTTGCCGGCTTTTCCTGGACTGCTGGTGCCCTCTCCTGGGTTACATGTCCAGAGGCACAGCCCTACAGCACGCCAGCCCTTGCCGGGGGCCTGCTGGGACACGGGGGGTGCTGGCGGCGTGGCGGTGCCGGCAGGCATGTCCCCCACTCCCTGCCCTCCGAGGGAGCCACCTGGATGGGACCCAAAGGCTGGAGGGGACCCAAAGCTGGCAGGGCCAGCAGGATGGGTGTCCAGGGGGATATGGGCTGGGGTGGCTGATGAGGCATGACTAGGCTGGAGTGTGGGGTTTATGGGGGGATGGCAACCCTTCTGCTGACCCCATTAGTACCAGGTGTAAAAAGTAAGAAATTTGGCAGAAAACAAACCCACCTGTGTTCCAGCTGGTCCTCAGAGATCAGAGGGGCCGGAGACAGCTGGGCTTAATTTCTGAGTATAATCAATTTGGCACTATAGGTTGTGTTCAACAGGAACTTCCACAAGCACAGATTCACATATTATTCAACATATTGTTCACATGCTAATTCAACACCATAGGTCTGGTTACATTCCATAAGAACCTTCGTGATCACAGATTCATAAGTACTGCAGTTTATTGAAGCAGCAGAAATACAGATATGGAATCTGCATTGAAAAACTCACCAGTTGCAATAGAGCTCTTACTGTTACAATAATGTTGTGTTAACCAGGGTAATGATAATAACAATTGTACGCAGCAACTTACCAAGAAGTTGGGAGGAGAGAAAGGAGAGTAGCCCATCGCTGTCTCCAAGGCATTTTTGGGTCTTCCTCCTAACCAGGTAAAATTTCTACCCTGCTTATATACAGCTCAATCCTCTTGCCCTACTCCACTGTTATATAGAGCATGATCTAAGTTAAGAGTTGAGTAATAGAGTCATACAAGTGGTAGCATGTACTTCACTAAGCTTATCAGCATATGCAGGAAGTGTATTTTAATATTTAAATTACCCTTAATCAGAAAAAAAGTACTTTTTTGGCCACGGTGTCCTTTACATTTCTGGTTCTATGACTTTGTTCTGTTCATCAGAGCCAAAGCAGGACCATCCCGTCTCCACAGGACCTCCTCCTTCAGTCAGCTCATCCTTTCTTGGCATCATCTGTGCATCTATTCCATCCACACAGGTAACACAGAGGGTGCACAGTGTAGGCCATGGATAGTAACCCCTAGCCCTTGCCTGGGTCCTTGGTCATCATCCCACACCAGGGTCCTGGATGGGCTCCGCTTGGTGGCAGGTGGGAGGGCCATGGGGGACAGCTGGGAAAGGGGATATGGGGGTGCAGGACAGAAGGGAATGGGGCCAAGCAATGAGGGAGAGGGCAGGGGCAGAACTGGTATTGGAATGACAAGCAGGGAAATTAATTAGGGGGGGTCAAAGGGGATTGAGGTTATTGGAGTTGGGATGGGGAGTGGCAAAGGAGAGAAAAGGGAAGGGGTGGGGGAGATGAGGGATGTTAGTCTGCAATGGTGGGTGTTCAAGGGGGTTTATGGTGATGGTGCGGTCAAGGGGGATCAAGGGATGCAGAGATGTCCCAGTGGAGAACTGGGAAGTCATTAGAGAGCAAGTGAGGATGTTGTGGGGCTGGAATGGTACACGGTGGGGGGGGTTTATGGGGGTCTGGGAGTAGCAAAGGGGATTTGGGGGTGTCAGGTCTGGGATGGAGGCATCCGAGGAAGGGGATGACAAGGAGGACTGGGGTATAACTGGGGTGTCAGGATGGATGGTTGGGGGTGCCATGGGGGATCTTGGTTAATTAGGTGTCTTTTGGGTAGACTGTGAGGTTGGAAGAAGGATTGGGGGTTTGGAAATCATGGATTGTTTCTGGGGTACTGAAGTGTGAGGAAGGATTAGGGCTCAGTCCTGGGGGACTGGCCGGAGTGGAGGGTTGGGGTGGAGGTGGATGTATCAGCCGGTACAGGATGGCTGGGTTGGGGAACTGGGGAGACGCAGGGGGGATGGAGGGACCAGGGAGAGGGCGGAGGGAGGGGACGGAGCGAGGAAGGACATATGGGGGGG